TTTTCATTTTAGAATGGCCTAGGAGACTGACTCTGGGTCTGTCTTTGAGAGAGTTGTTAGAGTTGCTTAAAAAAGGAGGGAAGACCGACCCTGAATGTGTGGTTGGCTACATCCTATAGGCTAGCGTCCTGGACTAAACTAACCAAAGTAAAAAGTAAGACAAACAATAAGCCAAGTGAGTGACAGCGCCCTCTGTTCTTAGCCTCCTGTTTTGTGAAGGACCCTACCTGCACTCTCTCACCACTATGGAGTCTACCCACCTTCTGTGGCCTAAAAGACTGCATCATCTTAGCAATGAGTCAAAACAAACCCTTCCCTTACCTTGATTCTGTCAAGTATTTGGTCACAGCAATGAAATTGGCTGGTGTCAGGCTAGCTGAGCTGGCAATTCCAGCACAAGGTTCAAAGGCTGGTAATTGAATATGTCCTCAATTAATGACAGGCTAGAGAGGAGTATCAAAGGGAGAGAATGCCAGAAGGCAGATGCTGAGAATAACAGTAGTACCTGGGGTGGGGGTATACAACAGAGATCTGTCTCATCTGAAAAGGATATGGGTGTCTAGCTACTAGTCTGCAAGCCTACTGGGTTCCTCATCCAAGAAGATTGTCGTCTGGTTGCTATGGAAACAAGCAGTGCAGAAGACTGGTAAAACAATCATGCACAGCACCCCAGTATAGTCTCTGAGTTCTGTCACTTGGACACATGTGAATTGTGGCTTTCTGTGGTTGTCTTTTAGAAGTAGTAGCCACAAACAAACCTCTATCACTGTAAGACTGTGCTTTGTATTCTGAATTCCATTGGCTAGACACACACACACACACACACACACACACACACACACACACACACACACACACTCCTCTTTACTGTCCTTGAGATATGATATGGGTGCATATAATGTATATGCATGTGGCTTGAGCAGTACCAAATTTCGAAAAAGTTGTATCTCAGACATGGCTTTTTAGAGACAAACTACAGCAAAAAGAGTATATGAAGTTGCAGCCATTTTAGGAAAACCTCCCAACGACATGATTCTGTCTGTGTAGAATAAAATCTTCCTAGTAGTCAGACTCAAAGGAAGTGAATTGTGGCAATAGAATTTATAAAGTTTTTGCAGGAATAAAAATCACATGTGTAACAGTAGTTAGGAATGAAGCTGGTGGATGGCAGATCTTCTGGGCTCAGCCACAAAAAAAAAACATATCTAACTCTAGGCTCATTTCTACCCTTTGGAAGTAGATCAGCCCAAACTTGTATGCTTTCCACTCTCACATGAAATCGGATTCAGCAGGGAATACCTGGGCCTGGACAGGTTGAGAGGTCTCTGGTCTCATCCTGGCGCTAGGGTCTCTGTGAGATCAGTACTAAAGAGGGAATACAGTATTCTATCCTCTCTACACACCTTGGTATTCATGTTCCTACTGTTTACTTAGAACATAAACAATGTACATTTATTTTCTGGAAAATGCTTTGTTCATCATAAATACATCCCTCTTTTTTTGAGAGAAATTAATCACTGGAAAGAAGCAAGTAATAGTGACTTCTGAAAGTTTTGTGATCTGGAATATTTGTATTTCTGGTCCCTGACTAGCATAGAAAATTCTACACCATTTGCCAAAATCTATCACTATGATGGAGTCTTTTCAATGCTAGCCTCAGCAGAAGCACAACATGGTGGTAAATTGTATGAATATGGAAAAACCAGACATTGAATTCTAAATGCTCACCATGACATTCTAGGTAAGGCTGAATCCTGAGTCAGAGCATGTGTTTAGAACCTGTTTGCTGATGACTTGGAGCCTGTTTCCTTCCATTAGTCCACATAATTAGGATCTGACCATAGGGGATGCCTTGAAATGGTTAAACACTGGTCACTCCAGGAATTCTAAGAACCTGTAAGGATTTGGGCCCTAAATATCATTTTCTCAGGCATTTCCACATTTGCTGCTATAACTCATGAGGCCTCAGATGACACTGAGCATTAATAACTTGAAGAATGGAAAAAAATCATCAGGCTCTGACTTCATATGCATTCCCCACTACCTATTTCTAGATACCATCCTTGAATAGGTGAGTTTCTCCCGGCATCTACTTGGGGGGAGAAAGTATTGGAAAACAATACCACCCAGGCAAGGCATTCAAAATACACATAGTGTGAGTGGCTCAGTCTGTGGGGTTTGTAGGAACTTGCCAAGATGGGCCAGACAGATAATGATCCCTTCCTTATAGATGAGCTCATTACGATTCTTGGAAGGTCACTCTCCTCGCACCATCACTGAGTAACAAGAGAATGATGGGGCCAGTTGCATAACTTCCAGTTTCATATCTGCCTCACAAGACCACCAGGACATCTGCAGGGTTCTCCCAGAACACTTTCCTGTGAGGAGCAGGCCTGCCACACCTGCTGGAGAATGCCTGGCAGTTTTCTGGTACTTAGGCAGGGAAGGGACCAATCTTGTTTTCAGTTCCTTGGTTTCATTGGTCAGCATGACTGGGATACTGTGTGGAGAAGCTTATCCACTTTTTTTTAATCTTCTTAGGAAAGGGTGACATAGATTGGTCATAAGGGTACTCCTTAGCATGTCATGTGGAAAGTAGGACAGGCAAAACAAACAAACAAACAACTAAGGACAATCATGAGATTAGTAAATGGAGAAGCAACAGCATCACATTTGCCACATTTGCTGGGAAAGGCTCCTGAGAGCCTTGTCCTTTTCCACAGCAGAATTCATTTTTGAGCTTAGATACAGAAACAGGGCCTGGTTATTACATTAGGTGACTTCCCTTTTGTGTGGGTCTGTGTGGATGCACATGTATGTGCAGGTGTACATGAACATATGGTAGCCAGAGGACAACATAGGTATCTTCTTCTACTACTTTCTACCTTATTTTTTAAGATAGGGTTTCTCATTGAACTAGGAGATCTCTGATTAGGCTAGGATGGCAGGCTAGCCAGTAGGCCCCAGGGACCCTCCTGTCTCCACTTCCCCAGATGCTGGGATAGGCATGTGCCACCACACTTGGTCTTTATGTGAGGTTGGGAATCAAATTCAGATTCTTGTACTTGCATGGTAAGCACTTTACCAGTTGAATTTCCACATTGGGGAAAGAAAAGACTTCTTCAAACTATCCTTAGATACACACACACACACACACACACACACACACACACACACACAGTGGCATAAGTACCTACATGCATGTAGTCAAAGATACGAGACACAGTGTAATTTTTAAGTTTTTTAATCTTTGAACTCATGGCACATATTGTCCATTTCCAAATCATGGCTTACAAATTCATCAGGATGATACTCTATAAGTGATGGGGACAATTACCCAAACCATCATAGTTGCTGTGTCATTCCCAAGGATGATCTAGTTATATAACTTATGAGCATAACAAGGTATATAAATCAAAAGGAAAATATTTTAAAAATCAAGTTTCCAAAGAGTCATGAGAACAGGATGCACTTGCACTCAAAAGCTGAGCTGCCAGCCAACAGCAAGGTGTACATCTGTGATTAGTCTTGCCACATTTGTGATTATGTTTGCCAGTGCGAGTTTCTTTCCTTTTGCTGCTCTTTGATAACAATTTTATCCTTATAATAAGGGAAATGGTTCAGGCAGAGTATGGTGAAATGAAGAGGTTTGTGTCCTGAGAGAGACAGAATCTGATTCACACAGCAAGTGTTGCTGATGTTTGGAGAGTGGGTCAGAGCCTAAATATCTGTTGACTCCAGGTGGGAAGTTATTTTCAGTTACTGCTATATTGAGCTTCAAATCTCCTTTTGCTAACATGAACCTTTTCTGCATAAAATCCATACTGAAAGCACCAGAGGTTCAGTATCTCAGTTTTAGTCAGCTGCTGTTTGCAGCTAGTCGATATGCCTCATTCCTCCAAATCATTATCAAACTCTGAAAGTTCTCTGGCATTTGAATCATAAAAACAAAGGACAGATGTGAAATGGCATCCGTTAACCAACCAACCAAAGGGGAATGCATTTGAAAACTCATTTATTATTATCTGTGTTTCGCAATGCAGATGACAGCAATTGTGCAGAAGTTGTGAATAGAAATTCAAATCCAAGCTGCTCTCTAAGTGAAAGCCAAATGGGTGTCTGATGAAATAGAGGGGTTTACGTCATGCTTAACATGGACTTTTAAAAAGATTTCCTTTAAGTATATTTTGAGGTTGAGTACATCTTATTCAAGTTTCTTCATGCTGGTGAGATGGGTGAATATATTATCACCATAGGTCAAATTAAACATTAGATTATGAGTGTCATAGTTAACCAGTCCCATTTGACCCAGTGACATGTGGTCACTGTACATGCCTAACTTACCCATATACAAAGCATTTGTCCTCTTCCTTCTTCATGCTCATTGTGGAGCTCCTGCCACTTCACTGTGAGTCTCTCAATACACTGACTAGAAGCTATCACGTTCATGCTTCTCAATTCAGTATTCTTATGACCTTCCTAAGAGGATATCCTTCCTGTATGACTTCAGAAATCTGAGGTTGTCTTCTATCTTGCACAAATATGATGGGAAATAAACCACTTAAAGGGGATTATAGAGAACCTCTAAGTGTTAGGAAAAAGGGAAGTTCAGGAATTTTTAGAAAGCACAGTGATGTGAGAGATATAACTGGTAGGTCAATTGTTAGCTGTGAATACAGCCAATGAAGGTGGTAAATTATAACATTAAAAACAAAAATGTATGTTTTCATATTATAGTTACTGTATTTAGTGGCTAACTTTAGGATTAACTAAAGGCATTTATATCTCTCTGTGAATATCTTAAGTGGCCTCCTGCTCTTTAACACAATTTGTTTGCTTTATGGTTTTATTTTCTACACAGCAGCAAATGTCTTGTAAGGTTCCCTTCTAGGCCAAGCAGGATTTGACTTGCTGTGAGCTTACTGTTCATGCTGTAGCAATGATCTTCACAGTCTAGCCACTTCTTCTTTTTCCTTTTTGTCTTCTCTGTTTCTTTGCAGAAGACCATCAAATGAGTTGTACGCGAATAATGCAGGACCCAGAAAAGGATGATAACAACAATGATGAGTATGATAACTATGATGAACTGGTAGCCAAGTCACTATTAAATCTTGGCAAAATTGCTGAGGATGCAGCATACCGAGCCAGGACTGAGTCAGAAATGAACAGCAATACCTCCAATAGCTTGGAGGATGATAGTGACAAAAATGAAAACCTCGGTCGAAAAGGCGAACTAAGTCTAGATTTAGACAGTGATGTTGTTAGAGAAACAGTGGACTCCCTTAAGCTATTGGCACAAGGACATGGTGTTGTGCTATCAGAGAACATCAGTGACAGAAGTTATGCTGAGGGAATGTCACAGCAAGACAGTAGGAATATGAACTATGTCATGCTAGGGAAGCCCATGAACAATGGACTTATGGAGAAGATGGTGGAGGAGAGTGATGAGGAAGTTTGTCTCAGTAGTCTAGAGTGTCTGAGGAACCAGTGCTTTGACCTGGCCAGGAAACTCAGCGAGACCAACCCACAGGACAGGAGTCAGCCACCCAACATGAGTGTGCGCCAACATGTCCGGCAAGAGGATGACTTCCCTGGGAGGACACCAGACAGGAGCTACTCAGATATGATGAACCTTATGCGGCTGGAGGAGCAGCTAAGCCCCAGGTCTAGAACGTTCTCCAGCTGTGCCAAGGAGGATGGGTGTCATGAGAGGGATGATGACACCACCTCAGTGAACTCAGACAGGTCTGAGGAGGTATTTGACATGACCAAGGGCAACCTGACTCTGCTAGAGAAAGCCATTGCCTTGGAGACAGAGAGAGCCAAGGCCATGAGGGAGAAGATGGCCATGGATGCTGGGAGAAGGGATAACCTGAGATCCTATGAGGACCAGTCTCCAAGACAGCTGGCTGGTGAAGACAGAAAATCCAAATCCAGTGACAGCCATGTCAAAAAGCCATACTATGGTAAAGGTAATATTTCTACCTAACGTAAGTTGCTTCAGGCAAATGTGAGCTAAGTGAGAGATGCTTATGATAGTTTGTTATACTATAAATCACTACAAATATTACATCTAATGCACATTTTTAGAGTTTATTATAGAGCTCTCTCATGTGACAACTTTTCTATATAGAACAAATAAAATATTTGTCTGAGAAATACATAAAACAAGTAAGTGTGCTGCCATTAGAGCAAATGGATAGAATGACAGTGGGAAAGTGCATACCTGAAGAAGACAAGGCAAGAGTGCACCAACACACCTAGATTGAGACCATCAGGACCAGGCTATGCTGTTACAAAGGAACCATGATCTATGCTGAACAGTGGCAAGGGTTTAGGCATCAATCAGTCAATCAGAGATGAGGCACTTTCTTCATAAATTGTATTGAGTATATGGCTTCATGATTTATAAAATTATTACCTAGTGACAGTTATTGATGAAACTGGCCCCATAGAAAATACCCAAAAGGAATTGAACAGCAACACAATGAACGATGACATAAGATAAGGACAGTGACTGCACATTAATTATCTGTGATAGTTTGCTTAGGAAACTACTTGCCATGCAAGGCACACAGTAGTCACAGCTGAAACCAATAGCAATTTCTCTAGAATATTAATTCCCCTTACTGGCTCCATTACATTGTGGAAGAAGTTGTGGCTCTTTTGTCAAATACTATATATTATTTTTTTTAAAAAAATCTCAAAACTACCCTACAATAGTTTAACTGAATTTTATTTTATGAAATAAATGAGCACATATTTGCATCTATCTATTTGTGCAACTTAGCTAGCCTGATATAGCGACTTCATGTTCATAGTAACATCTGTATCCATCTGCAGTTGGTGCAAGTCTTGATTGAGCTTCACTTAGCTTCACTTCGGTTTGGTCGATTCCTCTCAAGACTCAGAACTATGAAAGAAACTGTCTCAAAAATGAAATTGGTAGTTCCTTAAATCCTTTCTGTATTATCACCAAAAATGTTCCTTTTTTGCTTTTCATTTTATTCTGTACATTATGAATACTCAGTTTCCTCACTATGGATCTGATCATGAGATTCAGAAATTTAGTTTGAAAATCAGTTGCTGAACAAATTTAAAACAATCCAAAAATTGTATCATCCCTGTTGTGGCACAGGTGTGTACTCTCCTCTCAATGTGTGCTCATAGCTCCATGGCCAGCTGGACATTACTATGACCAGGTACAAGCTGTCAGAAGCCCTAGCCAGAGCGCTGAGTGTTTCTGGTTGACTAGTGCCTGGATGGATATGGGCTTTTCATTTAATTACAAAGGCAAGCACAAGACCCCCAGATGAGTACATACAAGGACTGTATTACTTTCTAAAGAACATAGATTCTGGTGCCATTGAGCTTTAGGCTTTCCTTGAAACACATAGAACACAGCATATGTGTTTTAAATGATTGAGCTAACATTAGAATAAGATGTGATAAACCAATCAATTAAGACATTTTTAGTTGGATTTTGAGAATGACAAAAATTCATGCCTTTCCATATGACTGCTATTTTATATATATATATATATATATATATATATATATATATATATATATATATATTTAGATTCATGTTTTAGAATTCTAAGTAGTAGTTCCCAGGTCAGAGCTGTGGTGCTGAGAAGCATAGTGAGTGACCATGTGTGGAGGCAAATTATGCATCAAAGAGTGTCCTCATCACCATGGCTTCTTTGGTTTGTGTAATCCGCCAAGCACATAGCTCTTTTGCTTTGTTGTTATGTTGCTTTACTTTTATGAAAAACATGGAATTTTCCCTGACTGCTTCCCCTACATGAGGAGGGGAAGTGAATGCTCAGGTACATTTTTGTCATGAGAAGGGGAAGGTTGGGAGCCTGAATTTTCTCATGAGAAAGAAGGTACTGGTCACCACTTCTCTAGTTTCCCAGGTTTACTTCTGGCCAAAGTTATCAGTATTTTCCATCAACAGTTTCCATGTTTCTTTGACTATAGCTGTAGTTTCATTCTGAGCCAAAGCAAAGCTAACACACATACACACACACACATATTCTCATACACACACGTGTACATCTGCACATGCAGATGCACACACATGTACTCACACATGCACATGTGCACATTTGCATACACACACACGCATGAACACAACAAAAAATGGAGCAGAGATTAAAGCCCTCTTTTAAAAAACTAAAGTTTTGGGACCATATCTTCCCAACATGCCTGAAAATGCCCATCACATCAACATGCTGTGTTGTGGCTTTTTTCTTCCTTCTGTAAAGAGAGTGCATGCTCTCATACCATACATCTTAACTGAAAATACTTCATTAAACTACTAATGAGCATTTCAAAATATTAAGTTAATATAAAATAACTTTTTTGCCTTCCACACATTTCCCTTTCATTAGGGCAAAAGGGGAATAAGCTAAATTCAGCACACTTTTTTTTTTAAGTTATTGCAAGGTTTCTGGTTAGGTTGCCTGGTCTTTTTGTTTGCTTCACTGTTTTATGTTTGTTTGAAAGGTGAATTGGGATTGTAGGAAACAAGTAATCAAGGCACAGTAAGGGCAATGGCAGACCCCATCTCTGCCATGTAAAGAGAGCAGATCATGCTCTTCTGTTCTCTGTACCCTGAGAGAGTTTTGAACCTTTTTTTAAATATAAAGATCATTTAATTTCAAAACTCTTTTAAAATCTGTGAAATCATGTTATTTGTGTAGATATTGGGGTCCTGATAAAACAGTTACTTTGTGATCAAAGTGAATAGTATGGTATTATTTTTTTAATCCTGTACAAGTCATTTGTATCTAGGTTTTTAAAATCTCTTAAATTTATTATTTTAAATTATCAGTGCTATCCTCTGAAACTGTTACTGTGTGGTTACTATTTTGTAATGATGTATATTAACTTTTCTCAGTATAATGAAGTTGCTCAGAGGGCACCAGAATGGTAGGCTTTATTTTGAACCTATAGAAACTGAAATGCCAGTACTTATTCCTGGGTTCATTGGCAAAGACCATAAGGTTATTGTAGGGGCAGGACAGCAGTTAGCAGTGCCCAGTGTTTTCTTCCACACCAGTGCTGGCTGGAGTGGTTCTAGCATCTGACAGGATCATTATGTAGATGATATATTAGCAGTAAAGGAATGAGGAATATCCTTCATTCAGTATAACAGCATTTGTAAGATCTTGGGAGTTGTCTATTTCATGCTTATAAGCACAAAAGAAAGCCTGTAAGAGTTCAAACATTCCAAAATCAAGCCAGGGATAGTGCTTCGTGCTTGTAATCCCAGTACTTAGAGATTTAGGCATGAGTATCACCCTGAGTTTAAAGCCAACCTGAGCTACACAGTTGAGATTCAGGCCAACCTGGATTACAGAGTGACATTCTATCACAAAAAAACCAAAGCAAATAAAATTCAAACTCAAGATACTTTTTCTTGATATAAATTAATTCTTAACCAAAAGTAAAGCAAATATTTTCTAATAACTTTGATTAGTCCAATTATGAGATATTCACATAAAAGAATTCAACTCCTATTAAAAATTTAACTCTAGCAGTCATTGAGACAAAACATAATAGTTAGTATTGATGATCTGAGCAACTGGTTTTCAAATACTTGTTCCAAAACACAGTGTGTCACAATCTACAATTTAGAATTCAGCCTGATCTGGCCTCATTAACACTTGCTAGAATTGTTGTAATGCATGAGGGTGAACTGTGGTTGATCTGGGTGTTGAAAAAAAAAAAAAAAACAACTCTATTAGGATATCGTTACATCTCTGGCATCCAGCATTCAATTCTGGACCAAACGTCTGCTCTGATTGGCTCTTGGCTGGCGCTGCAGAGGAGCTGGCAGCGCTCTAGATCAGCCTGACCTCCTACTGTGTGTATGCATGCACAGCATTACAAGAGCCTTCCTCTGATTCCAAGTACAGACGAAGAAATCAAAACAAATGGTTGCTCCAGCGGCTTATGAAGCGTTTTTTGATTGTCCATCACCCTGCCAGGTGGGATTGCCACCCTTTCCGTCATTTGCTTACAGTGCCTTCTGAGAGTTCAGTTGACTAAAAAAAAAAAAAAAAAGTGCTGAATTGCTATTTTAAGAAACAGTGTGGCTTAAAAAAAAAAAAAGTCTAAGGCATATGAGACCAGAGCACTTCAAAGAGGGAATCAGGTGAAGGGTTTCTGAGCAGCACCTTACTCTGGTTGAATTGTATGGAGAAACTGCTGAATGAAATATGGAGTTTTGTTCTCTAAGAAGGTCACTGTCTCATCACTATTTTACATTGATTTCTTTGAGCAACACAGCTTATCATGTAACACACGGGAAACCAATTGATCAAGAGTTAAGATTAGAGATAGGTGCTTTTTTTTTTAACTTTTGGATAAAAAACAAAATACTTTATGTATAAGGTTGAAAATATTACCCACATCCAAAGAGCTACAGAAGCAAAAGCCTGATGTCCCAGCCTATCCCTGACAACTGCCTAATTTCTCTGTTTAGCAACGGTCTCTTCAGGTTGCTGGATAACCGCATGAGTCTGCAGTTGGTAAACATTCATTTTCTTGACACCTGTTGTCGCTTTTAGATCCCTCAAGAACAGAAAAGAGAGAGAGCAAGTGTCCAACCCCCGGGTGTGATGGAACCGGCCACGTAACTGGGCTTTACCCGCATCACCGCAGTCTGTCTGGATGCCCGCACAAAGATAGGGTCCCTCCAGAAAGTAAGTCGTGTCTCGCCGCTCCCCGGGGCGTGCAAGCACTCTGGCTCTGTCAATCATCCCCCCCAACCTCATCTTCATGGCACCTCAGTGAAGCTGTCACTGACCCTTCCTCAGCCTGGAGGGCACCTCAGGAAGCTTCCTCCTATACCCTCTGGATATTCCGGGTACCAGCTCCCAAGAGTAGCTCACCCTGCAGTTATCTCCCTGGAATAGGCTCCCAGGCCCACCTGAGCTCTGTTCCTCAGTACTACTTATTCTGTTATCCTAGTCAGGTAATTTCTCTACTTGGTTTCAGATATTACAGACCTGAACTAGCCAGCCTCTAAAATAATCCATGCACACTGATCTTAGAAATCCCAGGGAAAAGAGCCCTTGGTATTTTGCTCAAATTCCTGAACTAATATATATTGTCCAGTCAGCATTTAGAACAGTTTTGTAGTGTATTTCATATCACAGGTGCCCTGGCATTCACACACTAAAGATGTCAAATGAACAGGTTTGGATCTGGTGGGTTTTTTCTTTTACACATTCTTTCTGAAAGATAGGTTCCAAGGGTATGAAATGAATCTGTGAAAGCAGTATTTCTTTTAGATCTAAAATGATATATATCATTTTTTGCTTACCTTTCCCTTGGCAAGAAATATGCCAACTGTGTAAAATCAATGAGAATCAATTGTCCAAAGCACAGACCCAGTTTCAGGGACAAGTAAGGCGAGATGCACGCCTAGTATGAACCTACAGCATGCAATGCCCTCCTTCAGCTTCCAGTAGGGAAGGTGGCTGTAGCTGTAGCTAGATGACCACCAGGTGAATACTCAAAGGCATTTTGAGGACCATGCTGTTACCAGGGACACCCTTGAAATCCTTGAGAAACAAACCTGTCAGAGGACAGGCAGCTCTCTGTGTATCAGTATAACATGAGAAGCAGGGAAAGCTAAGTACTCTCTGGTGAAAAGTGTTCAGATGGTATTGTGGCTTCAGGTTCTCAAATGCCTATTAAAATGACATGCTTATGTTTCCTGTATCTGTCTTGAGAATGATTATGAAAAAGCTGTAAAAATAAACAAATCCAGGTGTGTCTACAATCCCGTGTGTTACATGACAGGGAGACGCATGGTTGACGACAGCGGCTTCCACATGTGAGCACTGTGGTAGGTGCTTGGCTGGCAAATGCAAGCACTGGCCCATTCAATGCCATAACCCCCGTCCCCCAGGGAGCCCTGCCCTATCTACCAGATGAAGAACATGGGAATCCAACTCCATCTTCTTTCTCTTTCAAGGGAAGCAAACTGGCTGGCAATAGGTGGTGCTCAGTGCTTAAAAGTTCATCTGAGCAACTTTTAGTGGGCCTGAATGCAGCTGTAAACCCATGCCAGTTCTAAAACCCATCACCAACCCAAACCCTGGGCCTGGTGTTCCTGCTTCAACTCTAACCTGCTTCCTGGCATCATGTTGCAGGTTCTCAGTACAAATTGAGGCACCAGAGCTGAGAGCTAATGCTTTAATAAGTTTCTTTAAGGAATTTTTTTTCCAGGCCATAGGGTTTTTGTTTTGTTTTGTTGTTGTTGGGTTTTTTTGTTTTTGTTTTTTTTTTTTTTTGTTTTGTTTTGTTTTTTATTTTTCATAGTTTTTTGGTTGGGTTTTGTTTTGTTTTGTGTTTTTTTTTTTTTTTTTTTTTTTTTTTTTGCCTTCAAGATTAATCCCTTTAAATGGATAAAAATTCTCCTTGACTATATTTTCACAGGAAATGTCTAGATGTGGTTCAAGTGTGGGTTATGTTCTGCTGAGCTAGAAATGAATAGGCCTGCTCTGTTTGACCACATGTGGACCCATCTTAGCAGGCAATAAGTTGGGCTCCGGTCTGACCTGGTCCTAAGAACAAGGTGTCTACAAAAAATAAATAAAATAAACTAAAAAAGCAAAAAAAAAAAAAAAACATTTCTACATGAATGTAATCCCAGAACTTGTGAAGTAGAAGCAGGACTGAGTTGGACATCAGCCTGGTCTATATGAGACAATGTCTCATAAGGGTATATGTGGCAAGGGGGTACTACTACTTTTTCATGAGTAGTTCTTTATAATACCATAGAATGTAAAGATAAAGAATAAATAAATAACTCCATAGTAGGCAGCATCCTTTGTTGTTGTGACTGTCTTCCGTGCCTGTTTCCACCCAAGTGAATCCAGTGAAGGGTTCTTCTGCTACAACATACTAACTAGATGAATGGCAGAGGACAGTTCTACTCATGGAGACCCCAGCTGAGCCAGATAAAGTTGCTATCACCACCCGCAATACAGATTTACAGTATGCTGGGTAGTGTGGGAAGGTAACCGAAGTAGGTATAGTAGCTGGTACCCTGTGCCACCTTTTGAGCACTACAAATAGTACAAAGAAGAGTGAGTTGCCAGGGAAAAGCATGAAGGATGGAAAGAAAGGAACCAAACATAGGCTTGTGTGGAAAGATGAGGTGAAGGAGGAAATGGGGGGGTCAGTAGGGTCAGTAAAGCAGGTAAAATAGCATTTCTCAAAAGTTCCAGGTGTGATGTTCATGACTGAGGCGGCAAAGGAGCTTAGGAGGAAGGGCTACAGAGGTCACTGGACCTCCTGTTCGAAAGCTACTGCAGATGCTTCAGAGAAAGACTGGGGGGAAAGTAGTGAGAGTATCACTATAAACTAAAGTGCAGAAAGGTTTGAGACAGTCCCCAGAGGCAACCTGCAGACTGAAGAAGCAGGTGCCACTAGAGGTGTGGCCTGAACAAACTGTATGGATCGCTACTTAGCAGAATACAGAAACAGTCACTTGAACTCTGCCACACAGCCAAGCCTGAAAGGTGTTTGCTCTCTCCAGGGAAGACTTTATAATGGAAATATTTAGCATAAAGAGAAAGAAAGGCACATATTAACATAAAGAAAAATACATGCCATTCTAACAGGGCAATAGGATAGAGGGAAGATTAGCAAAACTGCAGACTTCAGAAAGGCACATCCTCCTCTGAGACAGGGACTCCTCAGAAAAGAGATCTCCTAGCCCCCTGTATCCCCAAAACCTCCTTCCAGAAAATGAGCTGAATGCTGACTTTTCTGCTTTGATTTGTATTTATTGGGCATTAGCCACATCTAAAGAAGAGGCAGAAGAACTTAAGGACAAAATTGTAACAGGCTATTTTTAAAGATTTCACCAATAGTAAAGACATCAAACTTGGAAAGGTACAACAAAGGCATCTAGGAACTGTACATGGGCCCAACAAGACAGTGACTGCTCCAGGAGAGTAAAGTCATGGGAAATAGTGACAGGTATGAGCAGTTGTGGTGCTGAGCAGACCTCACATGACCACTGATCCTAGGCAGGGAGGACTGCCACAAAGGCCACTAGGGTTTGCAGGCATCTTGGGAGTCAGTTTTCTTGACTTCACCAGAACTCCTAACTCCAAAAGCCTCAGCAGACACAGAGGATAGGGCTGTCAAAAAAGACCAGCCTTCCTGGATGCCAGCAGGCAGTGTCCTTGTGCTCTGGGGGCCATCTCTTTCATCTTCCTATTTGTTACTTTCATGTGGCGAAAATACAGAGATCTTACTACTATTCCTACTCATTCTACTAAAAACGCATGAGCGCGCGCACACGCGCACGCACACACACACACACACACACACACACACACACACAATACTAATTTCCTAAGCAAACATGGCTTATTTAAAAAAAAAAATAAGGTTTAAGGTTCTGCTTACTCACATCAGACTTTGATGATCCCATGTGTTTCAAAAGCACAGGCATGTTTTAAAACGCCCAGGCTATGTGCTGTTACACGGCTGATCAGCATCCAGTGCTTACCCATGGGATACACTATGATGGCCCTTGCTTTTCTGTCCCATGAGGGACTACTCAGTTTCGGCATTCTCTAACCCCCATGGCTCCCTGCCAGTGCACCCTGCTTTGCATGCCTGAGTACAGTCATACAGCCTTCTTTCTCTTCCCACGTGTATTTCCTGGTCATGCACATTACAGACGTTTGTAGGCCTGTCTATTGTAAACTAACCTAGCCTGTTAAGAATCAATTGCATATTGTATTCTCATCACTTCTCTCTTTTAATGCTGGGCTATTTTCTTTGCCTCTCCTTTGTCAAGTTCTTGCCATGCATGAAAATGTTCTCAAGTGTCCCACTCCAGGCTGCACAGGGCGAGGGCATGTGAATAGCAACAGGAACTCTCACAGAAGGTAAGTCACACTCTGCTGGGGTGTATGCTAGAGGGTGCCATCCACAACCCTGCCCCAGGGGAGCTCTTTCCTTCTATGCATCCCTCCTTTTCCAGGGAGACTGGTGGACCTCACACATTGCTCCTAAATAATCAGCCACACCATGTATAGAAAGGTCAAATGCTTGGTTGCCCTGTTTTGAAGATTGGAATTCTTCAGTTGTTCCTTAATACAAAAGATCACTGTTCCTCACAAGATACCCTTCTTGGTACAACATGGAAGCTTAGACACTTACAATGACAGTGACCAGAAGGGTCCAGCAAGGTTGTATTATCTTCCCACATAGGAGAGACTGTCTTCCACTTATGTAGAACAGTGGACTAGAACCAGGCAGTGCTAATCCCGATGAGTAACTTGGCTGCTCTTGAAATTCTGATGAATCCCCTGGTCAACAGCATGGTTATCATTAAAATATGAACAGATGTCCAGAAGCTCTGGTAGGGGTACACCACTGGTGATAGTACTCCAGGTCAATGGCTTTAACTGCCCTACTGCTGAAGAATACTTGGTCAGAAACATACTCTGGATGGCAACAAGCTCCAGATTTCTTCCCCATCCTTTTCAGATGTTATTGGAGATGGCAAGTTCTTCAGAAAACCCAGGTGGTAACAGATCACTTCCTTTGTGCAGTAGCGGAATGTGATTCTGTTAAGGTTTGTCTTGCCATGGGCTTAGGCTTCTTCTGAGATAAATAAAGCTGTAAAATTTCTCTTAATTTTTGTGTGACTGGTTAGTCACAGCAAGCAGCTTGGTTACTAGTGTTAAGTTTATAATAAAACAGATCACAGCTCTGTGCCCAGTAGAGGTTCTCTGGTACTAAATCTGCAGGAGCTGACAGAGATGCAGGAGATGCCTGCATAGTCATGTGCAATGAGCCTTCAATGTCAGTTCCTTCTTTTGGATTCAGTACATATGTGTACATGGATGGACACCCACACATATCTAAAGGGAGCACACAGGCAGCGTGCAAACACCATGATTTCCTGGGGAAGCAGCTTAAACAAAGAAGTCTCACTGCTTTCTGTGTCATACTGACTTCCTGAACTAGTTACTAGACACGCTTAGATGCAGTCCTGAGGGTGTTCCTACTGCACTTCCCTTTCCCTTTCCTTCCCTTCATGAGCTGAGGTCAGAAATCACTAAAGCCATGCATGCAGGTACCTCTGTGTCATCAGCTCAGAGTGCCACCTTCTGGTACAGGCGGCTAACTGCCACTTTTGGGTTTGTCAAAAACTTTCTCTAGCTGCCACTGCTTGGCCTCCAGAAATGGACAACACTCCTGAGTTTTTGCCAGAACTTTTAACCAGCTTGCATTATATTTGCTTCTTGGAATTTGGGGTGCTCATTGGATGGATTTGGTGTGGCCAGAGCTGTGCGCCACGCCACAGGAATGCACAGCACCAAGCAAGCTGGAAAACTCAGTTCCATCTACCTTGGAACTGCGGCTAACTGAAGGATGGAACACAGTGGGTGCGTCAATGTATGGCAAGACCTACACTTAATCAAGTAAATCTTCTTTATATCATTGTAGCCTCTCTGGATGCCCTATAGCTGCTGCAGAAAAACTGGCAAAGGCCCAAGAGAAACACCAGAGCTGTGATGTGTCCAAGTCCAACCAAGCCTCAGACCGAGTCCTCAGGTACTCAACAGAAGTGTGTCATTGATAGAATTCCATCAGAATCCATCCCAGACACAGAGCATGGGGAGTGTTTGGAACACTTGACAGGGTAGATGTACTCTGGGTAGAGGAAAGACATGCCAGATTAGAAACTGAACCTTGTACCTTCTTTTGTGAAAGCCTGGAGATCAGTATAACTCAGGTCTCCAGTGGCTGAGTGTGACTTTTGAACTGAGAATTGGATACAATTATATGAGTTGTAGCCCTGATAATTCATCACTCTATGAATGCTGAATAAAAGAGATGTTTTAAAAATCAGTGATGCTAGTAGCCCAGTATAATTTTATCTCAGTTTGGAGCAAGGAACATCACCTACTTAAGGTGGCACTGCTCTTTTAGAAAATGCAAGAATGATATCACATTACCCATGCCTGGAAGTTTTATGTATGAAAAGTCATCAAAGTTGCCATCACCTTTTATCCTCATACACCCTAAGATGTGGGTGGAAGTAGGTGGCATCGCTGCCATCTGACAGGCAAGGGCTCACGACTTACCTGAAGTCACTTAGTACTGCATGTTAAAGTGGAAAAGGCCTGAGGAGCGGAACTGAACCCCCACTTTCCAAATTTGTGAAGGTGGTTATCAGTAGAGGAAGACGTCTACATCCCTCACAGACTTCTCATGAAATCTGTGACAGTCAATGTACTTTTGCCTTCTTATTCAGTCTCATTCTTTGTCTCTGCACACCAATACTAGCTATCATTCTAATGACCACATTTGAATATACCTGGTTAAGTGGATGCCAGACCACAGCTAAAACTCAGAGCTAGCTCTAAGACAAACAGGTTGTCTCTAAAAAGTGGTGATGAATACTTTCCCATAGGTACAACATTTGGCTTCTGCTGAAGGTATTTCTTGGGGAGAAGTTATTTGGAGAAAATCACTAGGCAAGAGGTAGAAATACCTTTGTGTCCTCATTTAATATTTCAAGACTTTTTTTCTTGAAATTAATTTCCTTTCTCCTTTGGTAAAAGTTTATAGAATATTTCATAATATATTTAGAGAACATTTTAAATATTTAAATAAAAATGAGACTTCTAAAAATAGCTATAATCTGTAGTAAGATAATTCACTCTGCCCACACATGTGGCACTGACCACGCCTGAATATCTTGCTACAATAATCTGTCTAGTCCAAGATAATCCCTCTTTGATTTTTGATATTTCTATGTGTTGGTATATTTTTTTTAGTGCTTCAACAAGAAGTAAACAGGCTGAATTGGTAAACTGAAGACAAGTAAGTTGGTAGTTTGAGACTGCATTTTAACCATACTGTGCCACCATAAAAGAGGCTTAGACATACTGTGAAGTAACATACAGGCCAGTCACCTAGAGGCATGGCACCCTGGCAGACTGTCTGCCTAGAACTCACCAATAAGGGACTGTAGGTATGGTTCTGGTTTAGTGACTGCCTATAATTCATAGTTCTCTGGATTCAGCCAAGTACCACAGAAGTAAAATGAAATAAGTAAAAGAGGACTCATATTCTTGTAACTACTATTAAATATAAATTTAAGAAATATTCATGGATAAATATTGTCAAAATGTATAATAGCAAAAAATGGAAAGAAATAGTTTAGTAATGTAACAGATAAATACTGTCTAAAGTAAGAATAGCAAAAAAAAAAAATGAAATAGTTGAGTAACATAACATTCATATTCTAATACCACGCAGTAAGAGCTGATTTTAAACCCTAAGCAACGAAAAGAAATGGCAAATGCCATGTGAAATCAGGGGCAAACCATGTCGACTTTTAAATACTTAAAGAAAAAAGTATACCAAGATTTCAACAGTTTTAAGTCTGAAAGAATTCTGGGTGGTGTTTTTATATTTTTGTAAACATTTTGCAAATGGCCTAGAGACTGGAAGGCAGGCATGAAGGTGCGGGCTGGGCACGGGGATCACCGCCCTGGCCTCAGCCTCGCACAAACGCTCACACCTCTGGCCACGGCAGCCAACACCCACCAGGTCCAGAAAGCGATTCCCAGGGAGGTGCAGCAGCAAGTATCCTGGGCTGAGAACAGTCTTTCCTGTTTCCAGCCGGCTGAGAACAGGCAGTGTTTCCGGTAGGCACAGGCAGTGTTTCCGGCTGATAGGCAGTGTTTCCGGCCCAGGAACAGGCCGTGTATCTGGTAAAGGTGCAAGGCGGTATATCCGGTAGGAACAGGCAGTAGAGTTTCCTAGTTACGCACGACAGCAGCAGTGTTTCAGGATGACGAACCGACAGTATTTCCCACTGAGGTACGTGCAGTATATCCCTGTGAGAATCCACTGAGTGAGAGAAAGTTTCTCACCATCAGTGATCGTCCTTTGTCATTAGACTGTGAGCCAACGCCTGCACATGGATTCACTATATTTTATTTTTCCTGCTAAAACATCTATTTTTCTTGGGACCTTATTTTTTTCGTTTCACATAAATCAGAAACTAAAGAAGTTTTTAAGTAGATACACTATTCAAAAATAGTGCTGATATGGAGATGAATTGCAAGTCCTTTTAACAACATTTTACCCTAGAAAACGTTTCATCAATGAGTGAGAAGACTTGAGATTGACAAGCATAAACACCTGTCCATATCTGTCGTGTGGAAGAAAAGTTGTCGAAAGAGAATAAAGTGCCCATGTTTAACTCCTTTTTATATCATAAGTGATTTTCACTGGCACACAGTACAGAACATCAGTGAAGGAATAAGAAGCAAAAATTCCTCCATTTAAATATTTTATCCTAAAGTCTAAAATAAAGGACTACTAGATTTAAAAAAAAATCATTGAAGGATCATGAATATTTGATCAAAGGTTTTCCTACAACCCCATTTTAATACACAGCTAGATAAATTGTGATCCAGTTTTGTTCCATCCTATGGCCCTAAGTGTTTTTATTTTCTCTCATGTTTCTCTGCCATTGTGTGATCCCATCACCTTTTGTAACCTCCACAAGTGCAACATCTGTATATTGGATTGTTCCTCAGCCTCATGTCCTCTTTTTATCACCAGTCTTCCTGAAAGTGAAAGTAAATGATAAAACACATCTTAAGCATTTTTTTCCCTTCTATTTATTTCCAGTATTGACTCTTAGGCAAGTACTTTGTGATGTATAATTAAGTAAGACTGCCTTTTGGGGGAAGGAGTAACATTGTAATTTGTGAAAGGTCCTGAATCCACAATACATGAAAGAAATATATACTAGGATAAACATGAATCGTGTTTCATGAACAGACATGAGATATCAAGCTGTTCTTTGTTGTCTATTTATTTCCAGGCCAATGTGCTTTGTCAAGCAACTTGAGATTCCTCAGTATGGCTACAGAAACAATGTCCCCACAACAACGCCACGCTCCAACCTGGCCAAGGAGCTTGAGAAATATTCCAAGACTTCGTTTGAATACAACAGTTACGACAACCATACTTATGGCAAAAGAGCCATAGCTCCCAAGGTGCAAACCAGGGACATATCCCCCAAAGGATATGACGATGGTAGGAGGTGCACACTCTTATACATGAGAGACACGTTGCCATTGATGATGTTGTTGTTGTGTGTATCCATGTGCTACAGATGAACCACTATTCATGATTACCCAGTGGGTGCCAGAGGCACAGCACACATGGCAGAGCCCTGTGCTGAAAGCCCCGAGGGCCCAGGAAGGGCAGGTGGACACACCCATGGGTAGGAGGGGCACAGTTTTCTGCAATGACTCCAAGGCATTGGCCTCTGGCTATGTAGAGAACAAGGCCTAGGCTTGGGGTGTGGCTGAGCTGGTACCCTTATAAGCTTTTCTTTAAGGCAAGTACCCAAGACCTGGAAGAAACAGGTTGGACTCTTTTAAGAAGATCCACATTGACAGTGCTCTTCAAGGGTACACATTAGAAGCCTTTGAGGAGAGGGCCTTTCTCAAGGTCTATGCACAGGCTGTACCCTGGACCACAGAAGGTAGAGTCCCTGGGATCCTCTGTGTACTAGTATTTCTTAAAAGATACACAGGGCTCTTAATGCAGACATAGCTGATACTTCACCCAGCCAGCTCTGCAAGCAAGCCAGGCCTGAGTTCCTTCTCTGTCTGGGTGTTGAGGAAGGCCAGCTTCAGTGTAGGACCCCTGGCTCTGAACCTTGGCATCAGTGCCTTTTTAGAACCGATGGTACAAATAACCAACAAGTCATCTGATAACGTCAGAGCCTTTGCTTGATACCTTCCTGCAGATGGAGGAAGTGGGGGGGGGAGGTTAGGGAGTTAGGGCCCCTGTCTGAAAAATATACTTAAAGTCATACACACAGAAAAGGCATTTAAAAGTCTGGGGATTCAGAAACCTTTTAACAGTTCAACATGTGCTGCTGCATATCTTTCTAAGCTGTGTTTTTCTTACAGAGATAACAAGTAATTTATTTTGTAAATGAAATTTAATATTTCTTTGGCATATCACATATTGATCATCCATGTGTATAAGTTCTGTAATATTCAGACAGATAAATACACAAAGAACAAAGGTAGGGCAACAGGTATCATGGAAATAAGTATTTTTTGGTTCTTTTGTCTCTTTGGTAATAATTACTTGCTGGTTTCAAGTCTTGAAATTCATTCACTAAGTTGCAAATGAAGGATCAAAAGGAAATTATGTTCCCACAGATATAAATTCAGTTGATAGGCTTTCCAATCTGTTGACATCATATGGTGATTCAGTTAATCTTTTCATCAGATGTTGATTTACACATTCCTACTCCAAGGCACATTCCGATGTGCCTTGTCAAACACCTTGACAAGACTTTCTCTTTTTGCCTTACTGACTTTAACCTGGGCAGGCAGGTAGAGTTATAGCTAGTCATGGTGTCTTAAGAGCCATACACCTTTTCCTGGTCTGTATGAATCACCTTGGGCTACTACAGCTTTGTACATTGTGAGCTACAGTGTTCTGAATGAAAGAACCTTCTTAGTATATTCTCTTCCTTGAGACACTGTGAGTCCCCTGCTCCAGACTGCTGTGATGAACATTGGAGATGAGGTGGTGTGTGGATGCTCTTTTCCCACCATAAAGGCAGGAGTGAGCATATTCATTGATCCTGATTCTGTCAAGTCCAGACAGATACCTGTCTTGCAAACTTGGGATGAGGTAGACTTTCCATTGGTCTACCAGAAAAGACCAATCTATTAGGCATGCTCTATTAAACCTCAGCATTGGATTCTCAGGAAACCAAGGGGAAAAGAGGAAGGGCAACAGCAAATAAAAGCTCTAGTTCACTCCTGCTATCTCCACTGGCAGAGATTATATCTGAAAAGGGTCCCGACTGGACAAATTTTCTGAATAATGAGACTGTGTAGGAGACCCCACCTAGGGAAGCCATCCCTGTGTCCAGGCACCATGAGGTAGATTCCAATGTAGTTGCCTATTGCAGCACTTCCTGTTTGCCTCAGACTTCTTTCAGGCATGAAAAGAATGTATTTCCCACTCTTGGAGAAATAAGAAATAAGGGATTTCTGCCCTACAAATGCTGGCCTGATGTAGAATTTTTAGTCCTTAAGGACTGGGAACACTGCAGGTGCAGAGTGGTGTAGCTAAGGCCTAGGCCTGGATATCAGCCCTTTACCTACCTGGCCTCCTCTGTAGCCAGAAAACCTTCCATCAACCACTTGCTTCTCCCAGACAACTTTCCAGCTGTTTCTGTCTACCCACTTTTAGTCTACTTGGTCTGTCATTCTAGGCAAAGGTTTTAGAGGTAAGATGAAAGATACAAGTGTGTGGTGCATTCACGCATACAGAGGCATAGTCCATTCTATCCAAAGGACTGGATGAGTGCCACCAAATGGCAAATTGTACTCTTGTGCCCAGAACTGGAGTAGGCTTGATATGGAGGGATACCCATGGGTTTGGGAGCACACAGGTGACCTGGGAAGGCCAGAAGGAAGAACAAGGTTCAGATGTAGAGGCTGAGGAAACATCCTCCTCATGGTCTCTGTCACAGTGTGGAATTGGACACCTCCCATAGGAAGAGGATGTGTACAGGGTGAGATTGAATGGGAGGGGAAGGGACAGCACAGTCCATGAGTGTGACGTTAACATCTCCCTCCCCTATGGGGAACTAAGAATGGCTCTTATGTCTTTAAGTTTTAACAAGAAAATCAAAAGAAGGGTGTCTCATGATACAGAGATTATATGAAATTTTAAATTCCCCATATGTGGTTATGAGCTCATGGTCACTTTCCATCTTGTCTGTGGTCTAGGTTGTTGTCTAGGTTAGCAGCACAGCCCAGGACTCAACATCTGCTAGGACCTAATAGCCTCAATTTTTGCCACCAGGCCATTTGCAAAGACAAATTGTTGTTCTAGGTGTTGCATCTTTGGACATAGCTCATAACCTTAGGTTTGCTGCAACTAGTTATACCCCAGGGCCAAAACAGCTCCCACTCCCGCCCCTTCCCCTTGACTGTTCCCTCTTCCAAAGTCTTCAAGTTCAAATTGATTGTCTATGAGCCTTTTCCTTGTCACCATAAATGCTTGTACACTTTCTATACCAGCCCTCTTACCTTAGCCCAGACTCCAGGGCATCCTAGATGTCAGCATTAGGCAGCTGGTCCATCAGCCTAGGTAGTTCATATTAACTCTTTGTAGCATGGATTTCTCTGTCTGCCATAGCCATGCCTGAGACTTGTTTATTTTATGCTACCTGAAAAAAAAACTTTCTCTTGGGCCTTTTCTGCCTGAGTCCTCATGCAGCATACCATGCCATGCTTAGTTTTATGGATGCCTTCCAGCCTATTACAGCAACCACATGTGTCCTTTGCAAACACACTACCTGTCTGAAGTGTAGTCTGTGTCCCATCCCTAAGTCAGATCATCAATGAGCATACTGGAATATTAGATCCAAGTGGGCAAAGTGCCTGGGCCTCAGTATTCAGGCCTTACCATGGGGGTGGGCTAGGAAGACAGTGGGTCTGATAGAGGTGGTAATCAGGCCCTATGTAAGCCTTTGTCCCAAACATATGCTCCAAGAGAATCCTGTTTTCCATGGAAGATTCTGCATCCCATTCTCTTCCTGTTTATAGTATACAACATAGAAGTTAAGGGCTAAGGAAGCCATTTCCCCTTCTGAAAGCACCCACCTTAGTAATCAATGCCCCTATATTCTTATAATTCTGGTTTTCTTGAAAACTCATGATTGTATGGTCATGTGTCTATTCCCTGAAGGAAACTGAAAATGCAAAACAAACAGATATCATCCAAGAAGTATGAGAATTTTCATAAGCAGAGTAGACTGATGTTGTGTTGGTTTTACCACTATAGTGTTTTAGTCTTTGAAAGCAGCCCATATTTAGCCCTGGGTACTGGTGATGATATTCTATGATCTTTAGTCAGGGACAGAATGTAAGCAGATGTCACAATCATTGTGGCTGCCTGGCTATCACCCACTGGTGGCCTCTAGGAAGAACCCTTCACATTCTCATTCCCATCATACATACATAGTTTCACCTGAAATATACCTTTTTGCTAAGAAAAAATAAAATGCATTATGTCACTGTTATTATGGTCAGACATGGAGGAAGACAGTGACAGGAGTATCCAGGTCGATGCCCTCACTATGCAGTACTTCCGGCCTCAGCACCATGAATGAGTGCCTTTCTGAGTGTGGCCTTAGTGACTCAGACTGGCAGTCTGTGGATATCAGCTGTGTTAGCAGGATGAAAGACATTGCTTTCTTAAACTAAAGTACATGTTAATTTCATTTTGCATAAAACAAAAATTATTAGTCTCTGTAAAAGGAGCAATACAGATGTGACTAACACTCTGGTTGTATGCCTGATGGAAATGGGTCATAGAGAAGTTACCAATAATTCAATCACCTGCTAAACTTCTGCACTGCCCATTGTCAGAATGCAGGCATCATCTCCATGACTTAAAGCCCTGGAAAAGTAGAGACACCACCATATTTATACCTACAACTTCAAGACAATGGAAAATGATCAAAGTAAGATGAGAGAAATGCAACCATTTTAAAGATTTATTTTAGTAAAATGTTGCCCACAGATGTAGTGTCTTGGGCAGATGAAATGCTGTGGCAGTAAGAATACATGCCTTCTGGACTGCAGCCCAGTTGCTTCTTTGTCTGCTGCTGCCCTGAATAGCCTCAGTGTCTGTGTCTGTATCTGTGAGGTCTGTATCTGTCTGCAGCAGAATCAATCCACAGGGAGGTGGAAAGCTAGAGAATATGGTATATTTGGCCTGGGAAACAATTACAATGGGACAGGGTGCTGCAGGACATCTGCTAGCTCTCCCTTAGCTCTGTGCCCACAAACCTAAATAGGGCCACTCCACAGAACTGAATGGGAATGCCATCCTCCTGCTCTGACATACCCGTACATAATGAGACCCTGTCTCAAAAGTGAAACAAGAAGATACCATATTTTTTTCCCAGAATGGTGGCTAGCCTTTCCCGTTTAAAACCCCTCTTGGAAAGTGGTAGTAAATGCCTATAGCACCAGCACTTGATTTGTTGGGTAAATGCAGTAGGCTCTTCAGTTCTAGACCAGCCTGAACTATGTGGATAGCCTTATCCCAAAGGCACCTTCATATGTGGTACTGAATTTTTGTAGCATTTTCATATCCTATTTTTTTTTCAAAATATTTAATGATGCAGACTCATTAACTTGAGTTGACACCCACAACATTTCAAAGCATTGCAAGTATAACCCTCAGTGTCCATGTGTAGTCCTCTGCCTGGGCCTGGGCCTGGGCCTGGGCCTGAGCCCCCTGTACTGTTCTTGCTCAGTCTCTCAGGGATCCTGGTATAAGCTGTACTTGGTCTCAATCCACTCTTCTCATACACATAATCTACAGTCATACTAATGGAATTTTCAAAAAAGGGAGAAGAGAATGAATAGGTGGTCCCTGACCCCTCATCCTGCCCAGTTCAGGAGTTGTTCCTGTGCTACTCTGAGGCTGATTGACTGACCAGCCCTGCAGAATTAGCAGTGTGTCCAAGTGGCTATTTGCCCTCCATGAGCAGTATTGGAAACTTACTGTGGTCCCGTGGAAGGAATCTGGATGAAACAGCCACTTATGAAACTTGTTTCCTAGGATGAGGGGGGTGGTAGGTAGGTGGGACTAGGATGGGGTGGTCACTCTTACTCATCCTGGCCTCATCTGAAGTAACCTGAGTTTTATTAAAACTTTTATTAAACATTTATTAAAATGTTTTCCCAATACCATACCTTCCCTGAATCTTAAGCAGGCAACATTTAATCGAGACTCATATTACTGGATAGGATTGTTTCACTATGGTTGTTCATTTGTGTTTGGAGATTTTATAGTATGAGGTTCAAAGATTGTGTTAGCTCTTTTAGAAGGTTTATGGTTTACTTTGTGTATTTTGTCCTCTTTGGAGGACAATTGCCAAGATCAAGCTCTAGGTACAGAGCAGCTAATGACCCTGAGGTCACAAGTCCAGAGAGCAGTAGCCATCCATAGGCTTTTCACAGGCACAGATACAGTTACTATAAGAATGACTAAGGTAGCCATTGCCTGTGGGGAAAGACAGCCCTAAGCATTGTCCTAGCCTAGCCAAGTTGGTCCATGCGCATTCCTGGCCCCTAGTGCCATTCTCTGCCCCTTTAACAGTTCTGTTTAGGTAATTCCTCACTCTGAAGAAGTTAGACATGGTATCTCTGTGTGGAATATCTAGTCTTGGTGAAAATAAATATCCTGTGAGCTCAACTAGTAGTACCTCTGTGTTAGTGAAAATTGTCCATGAAGGAGAAACATGTTAAGCAGCTCTAAAAATTAACCCTCACTCCCAAGTACTTGTTGACTGTTTATGAAGGTGCATGCATAAAAGTATGCCTATCAAGGGATCTACAAGGAAAGACCCCCTGTAGGCAGATGAAGAGCTGACCTGGCTGCCCTCTGGTGTCCCACATTTGCCAGAGACAGATATCTGTCCTTAGGCATATGCCAACCTCACTTTTCCCTCTAAGTCTAGAAGCCTGTATAAGAATTACAGGATAGAGGTGTTTGGGTCACAATAGCTGGTACACATGCCCTGTCAGAAACTTTTATCACAAAGCCTGTAGTCCCCACAAATTTAGTGATGGGGATCTTGGGGATGCTGAGAATCTGGGCCAATTACACTGGGAACACTAAATCCCAGTTGGAATCCACAGCCACATATGGCTAGAAAGAATGGTCAGACTCTTCTTAATGGACCTACCCGAGGAATCAGTCACATACAGTAGCCAAGTCCTGTCTTACCCAAATGTGTAGATGTTGCAGAAGTCATGAGCAGTCTTGTCAAAACAAGAGTGGTCCTCTCCCAGGGTCACCCCAGTCCTCTGTTCATTCAAGCATGTACAGTGTAGAATGGGAAGAATCTAGGTTCTTCATGAATAATCCCCATATCTATGTGTGTAAAGATAGGTGGGTTGGGACCAGTTGTGTGTTCAGCATCCTGGGTGCAGGGCCTAACCACACTGTCCTCTGTCTCTGCAGCCAAACGGTACTGCAAGAATGCCAGCCCCAGCAGCAGCACCACCAGCAGCTATGCACCCAGCAGCAGCAGCAACCTCAGCTGTGGTGGCGGCAGCAGCGCCAGTAGCACGTGTAGCAAGAGCAGCTTTGACTACACACATGACATGGAGGCCGCACACATGGCAGCCACAGCCATCCTCAACCTGTCCACACGTTGCCGTGAAATGCCACAGAACCTGTCCACCAAGCCCCAGGACCTGTGCACCGCTCGGGTATGCCTAGGGCCTCAGCTGTGTCTCTTGGGAGATGGCTATAAGTTTGCCCACTGCCAGCCCTACAGCCCTGTGCCTCAGAACTGTGGACAGGTGTCTTGGTCCCCTCCAACTCTAGCTTGTGTCTGGGACATTAGATAGCCATCTAATAGACTCCCTGACCTTTATGATGTCTCAACTTCAGGGTACACAAAACCAAAAAGAGATGCAGCTTGGCATTTAAACAAGAAGTCTTAGTAGTGCCATTGATCAGTAAATGTGAGGCCTAGTGGGTCACCCAGGATAGGGAAGCAAAGAGGTGACATCTGACTGCACACTTGATGTCTGTGGTCTCAGCCAATACTGTTATCTCAATGGCCTTCTCGGTGCTACAAGATTCAAGAAAGGTTTCTATTGTTTAATTTTTCTCTTCTGTCATAAAAACTACTTTTTATTATTTTCTATTTTGAGGTCATACTATAATTACACCAATTTCCCCCTTTTAAGCTATTAATTTCCTTATGTGTGAGTATGGAAAGAACCATGGTTCATGCGTGGAGGTCAGAGGATAGCCAGCAGAATTTCTCTCCTTATACCATGTGGTGGTCACTTACAGCTGGCCCACAGCAGCACTGATGCCACTTGAAGCAGAAGAGAAAGCCATTAGGATGGGCAGGGAAGAGAGTGAGCTGCCTCCCCAGGGCTCTGGGCAGGAAGCAGTGTAGCAGTAAGTAGACCCTGCGCACTGACCACCTGGCCTCTATGTATCAGCAGACTCCGGCACTGACAGCAGTTGTCATAAATCATTGTAATTTATACGAATAGAGAAAGGTCAATCACTTTATGGTTCGCTTTCATTCTTTTGATATTTTTTACTCCATAGTAGTGGGACAGTGTCAGGGAACATGGACTGTTTATGGCCATTGGGGCTACTGAAGTGCAAGACTTGTGCCAAAGCCATTCCTCCCTGTGAGAATAAAGATAGGAACCTCCTCTGGGGTTGTTTGTTTTGTCCTTTAAAAAAAATAATGCCACAGTTGGGATAATGGTTCCAATATGATGCATCTAAATTAGTATCAAAGCTTGGGATCTGGGGTGCTTTGACAGAGTTCTGGCAGAACAACACTGAAAATATATGAAGAGCAAAGTACCAACAATAGGACCTTTGTCCCCTGTGTCCTCTACCTGCTCAGATCATAAGAAGTGGCTAGACATCAGAGGCCAGCCATGGAGTCACTCAAATTGGAAGTCACATTTTTCCTCGAGAGAGTGAACTCTCTGGGAAAATGGAGGGTTATTTTAACTGTGTTTGTCCACTGCCATCTAAATGTCTTCACCCTCTGCCAGCAAAGATGACTTTGAAGAGCTTGGCCTATTTTAATGCATCAGTGTGTGTGTGTGTGTGTGTGTGTGTGTGTGTGTGTGTGTGTGTGTGTTGTTTCACTTTTCATTTTTTACCCATTTGACACAGTAGCAGATATGAAGACATCCAGATCAGCTCAGAGTAGAATTCCTATAATAAGGCCTTGGGAACTATAGTGTATACCACCTTTTTTAAAATGGAAATCTCTTGGCACCAGATTTCATGTCAGAAGGAAAATTCTGGATCTTCTCTATCCTTTCATTAACACTTAAGTCCTTTCCTTTTCCTTCTCACTCACTTTATAATTATTGTCATTGATGAAAAAAGGGAAAAATAAACTCATATGGATGTGTGGTAGGATGGTTAGATGAGCAAAGGCAAATATATGGATGAATGGATGCTGGATAGAGGGAGGGAAGAGGGGTGAATAGATAGATGGATGATAGATGGATAGATGGATGGATGGATGGATGGATGGATGGATGGATGGATGGATGGATGGATGGATGGTAGGTATGATGGGTGATTCTTCTGAACAGTTTCTCTGGTAAGCCTGTGGTAGCAGGCATGCCCTCAGACCATGGTGGTTCACTTGTGTGTTACTGGAAGTGGGGGCAATGGAGAGTTATATTGATGAACTCTGTCTTAGCTAATGGTCATCCTTAGTTGGGAAAGGCAGGAAGAGAGCAGTCGAACCTTCTGGGTAATACATCTTTCTCTCAACAGAACCCAGACATGGAAGTAGATGAGAATGGCACCCTGGACCTGAGCATGAACAAGCAGAGGCCTCGAGACAGCTGCTGCCCAGTCCTAACACCCCTGGAGCCCATGTCCCCCCAGCAGCAGGCAGTGATGAGCAGCCGATGCTTCCAGCTGAGTGAGGGAGATTGCTGGGACTTGCCAGTAGACTACACCAAAATGAAACCTCGGAGGGTAGATGAGGATGACCCCAAAGAGATAACTGTAAGTCCTTCTCCTTGACCCTACCTATATTTGCTAGGAGCCCTTGCTAGAGGCCTTGGTGAAGAAAAGTTAATTGCACACTCTTCAAGATAAAGTGTAGTTTCTTGCTAAATTTGCTCTTTAGCTAACTAAGAACTGGAGAACATTTTTGGTTGACCCAGGAAGTATATAATTGATACTGATTTGAGAGAAACAGACTATGAGATCTTTAAAATACTTTTTTTTCTAATAAGTGCGCATCATTACAAATGTCTTCCCTAGGAAAATACAGAAAAGAGCATATTGTTTTATTTTCAAACAAAAAAAAATATTACATTTTCCTGAGGCAGTATAGGCAGGAGGATCAAGAGTTCTAGGCCATCTTGAGCTATATAGTGAAATCCAAGTTAATTAAAAGTCAAATAAAATAAAAAATTATTAACTATGTGCTACAAATAAGCTCAAGCATTCAGGCTATACTTCTTACATGATGTATCTTAGTACAGTCATCTGACTCCTTGTTTATGGCAGTATGTTTAAGATACCTACGTTAGAGTACATTTTTTTCAAGTAGTTTGGATTTTCAAATTAGTTTACTACTGTAGTATAACACCACATGGACAAAAGATAAACCATTTTCTTTTTTTGTGTGTGCTTATAGGTATTACATATGCAGGTGCACACACACGCAGGGCTCAGAGCAGGAAGTCAGATGTCTTCCTGTGTCATCTCTGCCTCCTGCCTTTAGACAAGGTTTCTCATTGAATGGGGAGCTCAACGTTTGACTAGGATGACTTGCCAGTGATCTCTTGGGATTCTTTCTCCTTTTCCAGTGCTGGAATTGTTGGCACTCACAGCCATTTCCAGCTTTTTACATCTGTATACTTTGTAAAAAGAATAAATATATCAGTAGGATAAGGAGCCCACTTATCAAACCAACACTGACAGTGGAAACAAACCGGTGGAGAGGTCTGCCTTTGAGCCTTTTTTTTTTTTTTTTTTTTTTTTTTTTTTTTTTGTGCTGTGTAGTCCTGACTGGCCTCAAAGTCACGGTGATCTCCCTGCCTTCTCCTACTAAATGCTGGAGATAGATGTCTGCACTATCCCACTCAGCTGAGGCTCTGTCTTAGCTCCTTTTCTATTACTGTGAAAAGGTAACATGACCAAGGCAACTTATAATTGAAAGTGTTTAATTGGCCTTACAGTTTCAGAGAGTTAGAGTCCATGATGGCAGAGAGAAGGTATGGCATCAGGAACAGCTAAGAGCTCACATCTCAAACCCAAAGTAGGTGTCAGAGAGTACACTGAGGATGGCAGGAGGCTTTTCCAGCCTCAAAGCCCACCCCTACTAACACACATCCTCCAACAAGGCCACACTAATCTTCCTAAACAGTTCCCCCAACTGGTGGCCAAGTATTCAAATGTATGATCCTGTGAGGCCACTCAGATTTAAACCACTTCAAGCTCCTACCATCAGTCTTCAAACTGAGCTAAGCACTTAGGCATTGTAAAAATGGGATCAAATTTGAATGGCAAGCTAAATTTAATTACTCTTTTTTTCCCCAGAGTTAAACCACAACTATCAAGAAAGAAATGGTAGTTGAATCTCTGAATTTTTTAAATTAAAGTTAAGCCTCCCTCCAGTAACAAAAGCCTCTTCACCATAGATTGACTCAGAAGTAAGCTTGCCTTTTAGCCTGTAGCATGGACTTAGGAAACATGTATGCTGAACATTGTCCTCTCTAGAAAAAGAATAGGTTACTGTGTGTTGACTCATCCAAAGTAGGTACTTTATTTTTTTAATTAAATTACACCATTAACATAGTTGATCTTCTATTGCCTTGACATAGAAAAGTACATGTAGGGGAAACACTAACCAGTGACTGGCAAAAAGTCCATTCTAAAATGTTTTCAGGAAGAATATTAGATGTACTGGTCCTTGTTAATAACAGATGTCCTCTATAACAGCCATGCACATACAGCTCTTCCCTGGACACTAGATGCAGAAAAAGACAAGGTGAAGTGGTTCCTCTGGTTTTTAGAACACCCACTGGTCCTAAACAAGAGCCCTGTAAAATCTTAGCAGCCTGTGGGCAGTTCATCTTATGTTTCACAACAAAGATCCATTTGGGTTTTAAATATAAGAGAGGCAGAAGAGCAGACAGGGAAACCCTGCAGCCAGTGAACCTTGGGCTGGTGAGTTTTGTTGCTGTGTGTGGCTCTGAAGCTGTGTTCTGTCTACAGCCAGAAGACTTGGACCCATTCCAGGAGGCCCTGGAAGAAAGAAGGTATCCAGGAGAGGTGACCATCCCAAGCCCCAAACCCAAGTACCCACAGTGCAAGGAGAGCAAAAAGGACTTAATAACGTAAGCACACCGTAAGGTGACACACTGGCCCTTAACCCTCCCCTCCCTGGCTTACTTACAAAGCAAAGACATGTATATATACGTATATATGCTTTGCCATTTGAGCATGTACGTTGGTGGCCCGGGAATCTCTAGATGGCAGTTGAGCAGAGCCAGAGGCTACCTTGCACCTGCTTGTTCTCAGTGGCGCTCTACCATGAGAAATTGTCATTTCATTTAACCCTATGCATTTTGCAGCTTTCTCCAGGGTTCTTAACTCCCCTTGCAGACATTGCAGCTAAACTGGAAACAATGAAATTTTTTTAAAGTTTTTTTAAAAAAAAAAAACAAAACATACTTACTATTCTGGCTGTCTTTGTTTTTGTTTGGTGGCAGATGTCCAACTCCAGGGTGTGATGGGAGTAGTCATGTGACTGGTAATTACACCTCACACAGAAGGTGTGACTTCATTTTTCTCATGGTGGATTCTGTCTCTTCAATTTATTGTTTTCAGCTTACCTCAACAATGCTGTCAAAGTACAAATGTTGAATTCTGTGTCAACCCTCTGAGTGCTGTATGCTGCCCTTCAAAAACATGCTAATTTACATGTTACACAATGACTGTTAGACCACTAAATTTACAAAGTTCTTCCCAAACATTTAAACCAAAGGGAGCATATATTTTGTTGTGATTTAAAAAATGATTATAAACAGAAATGCTTTCTTAAACATATGCTTGATGCATTAATAATATAAAAATTCAGTACACAGCACTTGACCCATTGCTCTTCTGCATTGATTTTTTTTTTTTTTTTTTTTTTTTTTTCAACTTTGTGTTGTGTTGTTTGAGCACTGCTGCTGCCTAGGGGTTCACTTACTGTGTCTCCTGGCCTGTCTTACAGTCTGTCTGGCTGCCCCCTGGCGGACAAAAGCATTCGAAGTATGCTGGCTACCAGTTCACAAGAGCTCAAGTAAGCATTCCTGAGACTAACTCTCCTTTAAAAATCCCTTTGCTGTTAGTTCACAGAAAGTAGTGTGCTGTTTGAAAGTGAGTTGTCTGTGAAGGAGTCTCCTTTGTGCCTGATTTAGTTGGATAGTCTCTAATTCTTTTGTGTCGTAGCCTTTATATCTGGAATTTCTTGCCTTCAGATATGCATGCACTCCAGGGAAAAATGTTTCAGAGTTATTCAAACTTTCAGAAAATTGCTGCATAACATTTTTGAACAAATAGACGCTGAGGATAATAATCTACCTGGTAACAGCCAGTTTGGTAAACTTGTATTCTTCATTATGAACACTGCCCAGGCCAGTGGTGGTACAGCTCAGGATCTGATTGGTGTTGGCACACACACACACATGCACGCACACACGTGCACACACGATAGCCATAGCTCCCTCTTCTCCACTCCTCTCCCCTTCCCTGCCCTCCCCTCCTCTGCACTGTAACTTTTAAATATAAATCTGGTAATACCGAGTTCAGTGCCAGCACCAGCAGACTGGAGCTGTTTTCCTTTGCAGTCAAGTATACCAAACTCGGTTCCAAGCAGACCATAGAAGGAGCCAGTGAAAGTATGACACGAGCATGGAAACCTTACCCACTCCCATCAGTGTGAAATTTGAGGTGTCTGTAAAGATAAAAGGCCAAACTGGACAGCACAGCATGCTCTCAGCAACTGCCCCTCAAATTATAGCCTTTGCTTACCTGTTGTTTCCTACCATTGTGCCCTATGCTTGGCTGGGAAGATACTGCCCTCTCCCCACCATCCTGTCCCTCGCCCCCATTTCCATAGTCCAGGGGTGACCTGAGTGCAGCCTTCTGTTTGACGCCCATGTCATTTTTTTCAGGCTCCCTGTCCAGGGCCCTAGTGCCATAGACCACCTGCTCATGTTCAGTGACTTCCTGAACTAGCCCTCCTGTCGCACGCAGGACTCTTGCCTTGCCGTTGTCTTCCTGAACTAGCCCTCCTGCCAATTGCAGGACTCTTGCCTTGCCGTTGTCTTCCTGAACTAACTGTAAGCAGCTGGAGGGCTTCCTCTTGTCTGACAGTCTAGCAGCGTTTAAATCAGTGCCTGATGGACAAATAGCTTTAGCACCTCAAAGCAACAGCCCTTAGGAGCAACAATCTGGCACGCTTTGTTCAGGCATGTTTTTGTCATGACTTCAACCCACATTTCCCTCAGGGTCAGAACGTGACCAACTGCACTTGGATCTTGGCCAGCACATCAGGATGTGGCAGCATTCTTTTGACTCTCTTGATGAGGAACTCTTTGCAAAGGCCTGGTGTACCTCCAGTTGCAACCGGCCACCTGTAAACAAGAAACTAGCTTTTGTTCTACTGGCGCACTCTGACTACTTAGTGTTTTGAGACGTGGGATCAGAACATGTTCCTGACAGTGTAGTTCACATCTGTTAGTGTTGAGCTTGGTGTTTTCAGCCATCTAAAATCTCAGGCAGACCTGCTGTTTCTGCAGCCCACAGTTTCCCCTGGCTTCATTTCATCTTGGAAGATGGCTGGTCCTCTCATCAGTACCTCAGGGGAGGAGCTGCACTCACTTCCTCCCGACAGTGTAGTCTTGGTCAGCACCCTCCTTTTTCCTTCCTGCCAGGAAGCTGTACCATCCAGAGAACAGATACTTTTGCCTGGTCTAGAATTTATATGCGTTTTCTATGTTTGTCTTTGCAAAAAGTCCCTTTCTGCTTGACCCCTGCTGGGAAATCTAAGCTTTACTAATTTCTTAAAATGATCTGTTTCTGTTAATGGAACTTCAAAACTAAAGATTTCGTGTCTTCTTTAAAGAGACTGCAATTTAAACAGCCGTTTTTTTTCCCTTGAAAGTATCTCCTCTGCACACTAAATAAATAAATAAATAGACCATTATGATAGCCTTTTCTCTCAGCCTTTTCATTGAAGACTCTCAGCCCATCACTTCTTTGAAGAAGTCAGGAAGGTTTGCTGGGGAGTTTTCCTCTTTAAGTTGTACAGCAGCTTAGAGTAATCATGATTATCTCAGTGTATTGATATTCCTGAAAGTCTTGGTCAGTTTTATACAGTAGCATCTCACCTGAATGAGAAACTGAGTTGAATCCCTGGTTATTATTCTTTTTTTTTTTTTAACACTCTCTATTTACCAATTATAATGTTAAGGACTGGGTCCCAAAAACCTCAGCTACCACATGGATTGTTTAAGAAAACTTCCTCTCATAATTTCCAATACTTAAATTTTATAGGTGACCCTTAAAAGAACATTCTTAGCCATGAACAAGAAAGATGTCTAAAAAACCCATTGACAAAAAAACTCTCAGACTTCATAGGCAACACTCTACTCATTATCTAGAACAGCCACTATGGGATAGTTTTAAGAATAAATCAATGATTTTGTGCTTAATTATGTACAATGTGTAAACTAAAGGTGCATTAAAATGTTACATGAATCTTACCAACACTCCGGAGTGGCTACTGGGCCCCTTGTGTCTCTGTTACGCCTATCACATGCCCTGGAGGGAGGGAGACTTGAGGGCCAGAGAGGAGAAAACTGTTCAACCAAGTACTTCCCTACCCACCCTGGCTGTGAGATTATGGCAACAAGTAGCAAAGAATCAAACTGTAAGAAGTAGGGTGACTTTTGAGGAGGAGCTATCCTAATGTAAAACATGATGCTAAAGCTACTTTTCTCATTTTGAAATGTCATTTTCTAAAATTCTCCAAAGGGTGACACATGAAAGGCAGCCATAGCATTGTGGCCTCTTTGAAGAGCCTCAGCCTCCTGTCCAAGGACCTTTCCTAATGGGAGTCATGTTCAATGTCAAACACTGGCAGATGCTGGTCTATGTGGGGTTTTAGCCATCTCAGTTACCAGTCTGAGCTGAGAAAACCAGCTTCAGTCAGGAGCCATGGACTTGCTTACCATAGCCCCAACTAAACAGGCTTCCATTTATACTTCAGCCAGATATAGTGGAATTCTAAAATTAGAGTGTATGTAATTGGCTTTAACCATACACATGCAAATGAATATACAAATCAGTAACTAATAAACTGAAGTGTGAGTCCCTGTGAAAGAGGTGAAGCAAAAAGACCTGTTTCCTCTCTGCCCCTCTGATGTATGTTCATGCCATGTGGAAAACCCTCCCCATTATAAACTGCTAGGATCCAGCATAAAGCCACAGGAGAGACCATAGCCTGAATGCTATACCATGACAAGTATCCTTGGGAGTTCCCTGCCCTGATTCTTCTTTCCATTCCCTCTTCTGCAGGCGTGTGGGTGGGTGGGATGAGTAAGTGGGAACATCCATCTTAATCTCCTATAACTACACATGTCCCAACCCACATAAATAGTGAGTAGAGATCTGTTACACACACCTCAGAGTTCTCCAGACACAGCTTAGCTCTCTTGTGTGTTTGTGCCTTATTTCCTTCAATGCAGATTATAGTAAAGTTCCCAGAGTAAGAACTCAGATTCAGGTAATATAAGGAAAGTAAACATCATGATCAAGACCTGTTCTTTTCATGAAGAACATGAACATGTAACATGAAATGCAGAGCCTCTAGCCTATCAGAAAGTCATCTCTTCTGTGCCTCAGTTTACTTATCTGTAGCCTAGACTATCACTAGGATATCTCAGTAGACATTTGGTTGATGTCAATATAACCAACAGTGTCAAGGTCCAGCAATCCCTGGGTCTTTAGACAACATTCACCAGCAAAAAATGGGAAATGAACAAGGGTAATTGATGATTTTGAAATGGCAACATCCCTTCCTGTTTGAAAAGTCACTGAAATAAGAACTTCATTCACTCAAAGATCTATGGGAAAAAATAACATCATATTCTTTAAGACATGTGGTAGCACATACCCATAATCTCAGCAGACTGTTGAAGCAGGAAGATGGTAAATTCAAGGCTACCCTGGGCTATACAATGAGACCCTGTCAAGAAAAAGATGATGGTGATGAGAATAGAAAAGAAAGGACACTGTACAGGTACAGAGTTAGGTAGTGTGAAGAAGTATGAAATCTGAAAGCCTGTGTAGAATGTTCTGATGTGCTATAGCTAACATGTCCACACAGTGTGTTCTCTAAGCATGTTTTATCATGGGTTTCTATTGTGACTGCTTGCTCTTTGCAGTGTGAATCATCACAGTTCTCATATGTTCCTCATTTAACTCTTATATCCAAAGCTCCCCTGGCCACCTTGGCCCCCTGGCATCCATGTCCTCAAATCCTAGGGTCCCTTTGGAAATGAAGACAGTCTAGAAACCCATGAGCTCATAGGCTTCCTATACTGAAGTGCCAACCATGAGAAGGTATTTTAAGGGATTACTCAGAATGAGTAAAATTCATTCATTCATTCATCCATGCAATTGTTCAGCCATTTAAAAATAATTCAGTTTGTACCTAGAGATAAGATATAACTTCTACCCCTCCATTCACAGGAAGCCATGTTCATGTTCTTACAGCAGACCAAAGGGAATCACTACACTAATCCAGGGATCAAGGACAAGCTAGACAAGAAAGGGAGTGCTAGATTATTGTGAAAAGCCAAAAAAGTACCAGAGAATCAGGTAAACTTGGGCTATATTCGTGGGAACAGTCCAGGCCACTTAGCAAATAATGAATGTTGGGGGTACATTCCCACCAAAAAGTGTGTCATGAGCAACAATTCTATTCTACTACAAATAATTTGACCAACCCAGGGAAGAGGATGCAGCTAGGAATGACAACTAGAGATGACAGCAAAGATGTAGTACTAAGATTCACTAGCTGTCAGAGTCATAAGCAATATCCTGGAACGGTAATGCCCAGAGACAGAACTATACCAGAAGGATTGAGGAGACTGTGTCCACAAGAGACTCCTGGAGAAAGCCGAATGATGGCTTGGGCTTGGCCAAGCCTGAGAGTTTGGATCCAGTAGCTGTCCTGTGTTCTGGTTCCCCACAGAAAGGAAAAGGAACATGTGTTAGAAAGATAACTCCTAC